CGTAGGTTGGATCCCACCACAGGTCACCCGTGTCGCCCGCTTTGCCTGAATCGAGCGGCACGCCGCATCCACTCTCTTTCAACCGCAGGTCACGTGTGTCGAGCAAGTTTTTTTTCTTTTACAGAACGGGAGCGCTCGTAGGGGGTGGCCTTCCCTGGCTTGGGCCGGGCAGGGAAACTGGCCCAGTGATACATCAAGTTGCATAATATGTGTAGTTTGGTGTCATAAGTTGTAAAATATGGGAAAATGGCGCCGGAATTTGTCTCAATGTGCATACACGGTTCACTTAGCCGTATATGCCGTTTGCATGGCATGACAGGGTGGCGCTAGGCCCATTGTCAGTGAGTGGGTTGAGCTGGAGCGACGCAAAACACACCTGAATTTAATAATAAATCTTGTAAAAACCCATGTGTTAGAGTTGTGTCGAATATTATTGTACAAGTTAGGTTACAGTTGGACTTGGAGTCGTATTGTGTGTAGACAGGGTAGGAGTTGTGTCCTAATAGGACACTTGTATCCTAAGCCTCTCATATATAGTAGGGATAGACACACGATGTAACCTATGCCAATATAATAGCACGGGCACGTGGGGGAGCTGGTGGCGTGTGCCGGCGCCCGGGCGGTCGGGGTGCGGTATGTAGTGGTGTCATGGAGAGGAGTGCCCGTAGTCATTGCCCCGGGGATGTAGCCATATCGATGAACCTCGTTAACAAATCTCGGTGTCGTGCTTGTGTGATTGCTTAGTCCTCGGTAGATCGACGGAGCGCCTCGGATTTATTCTAACAAGTGGTATCATGAGCTAGGTTGATCAGAGGTCGCGGAGGAGTTGATCCAGAGGGAGCCGAGCGGAAAATCAGGCGCTGCGAGATCGAAGATCCAACCGTGCAAAAATCGTTGGAGGAGGTCGCAAGCAAAGGCGTTAAGATGGGATTGCTGACGCGATCAAAGGACGATTAGGCGGCGGTGTTGATCTGGTCAATCGAAGTAGCGAGAAAGCGCGCTGCGGCAGGTCAGAATCAACGACAGTGTATTGCGGAGCGTGCGCGCACGTACAGCAGCGGGAGTCTCGCCAGATCGGATCGCGCGAGCGGCCGAAGCAAAGCAGCTGGAGGCGTGACCAGCAGGAGGCCTGGAAGCTGGGTGGGCTGCGGGCCGGGAGACGTGGTAGCCCAGTTTTCGGCTGTGCGTATGCTAAGGCCGGGATTGCTGCTGATGCCAGAGGTGTGCGAGTTCGTGTGATGCGATACATGAGCTGCGTGAGATTTGTTACAAGGAAAATAAGGGCGTCAGGTATCGCGTGTGTAGCTATCCATCGAGAGCAAGACAAAGAGCAGGATGGAGAAAGTTTGGGGCTGCACCTGAGCCAGGATAAACGAAACTTTTGATCTTGTGCACGGAAAGGCTACTAGAGGAATTCTCCGATTGGCTCTCTTTGCTTGGTACATGTACGTGTATGTACAGGATGACAGCGGTGCACGCTACGGAAAACAAAGGCGCGGTTGCGAGTCCATGAAATATTTGATACGATGCAAGTCAATGAAGATGGACGTGTGCGGCGACGGCGGCGTGCGTACAAGGCTTGGGTGGAGTCTGGAGCATGTCGTGTCATGTTCATGCATACACAGGGTGTTAAGCAATGCACGGAGATGTGCGGACGGACACGACGCAGGGTGGAGCACGGTTGCAGTCAGATAAGTTCAGTTGGGTCGGACTGGATAGTCTGATGGATCGACGAGGATGTCGGTCAAAGCAGAAGACGGCGGTGATTTCAGCGACGACGACACAAGAGCGTGATGCTGATGGTGGCCAACTTCTGGGGCGTGGAAACACGTGGTGCAGGTCTGAGGGCTTGCGCGACTTCGACAAGACTATGGCGCGGGATTGATTCAAGGCAGTGCACACATGAGAGAGCTTGAAGTCGACGGGGCGCGGGGTAGCACGACCAGCTACATGGAGTCATGTTGAAGGTGGAGCTGGAGTTTGATGGACGACTTCACTCTGTGCTGATGGAGGGGCTACGGCGTAAATGCATGGAGAGTCAAAGCCTATTTCAGCGGGATAGCGAGAGACACGTGGATTGGACTGGGGCCCAGTGGTCTGATGGAGGCATGATACTCGGCATCGGTCGGTGATGATCGGTGGTTCTCTGCAGTGGGGGTTGAGGCAGTGTGGGCTAGCTACCCGGGAGGCTCGACCAGGACAGCAGAGGCTCGACGCGATGATAGCGGCGAGGCATGCGGTAAGCATGGGACACAGCGACAAGACAAGGCACTGATAGTCAGACATGTGGTCAGACAAACTGTGCAGGGGGTACTAAAGCAGTGTTGACGAGTACCGGATTCAAGTTGGTGACTGGGTCTATCGGTGCTAGTTGATGGACAGGAGTTGACCATGAAGAATCTGAGAAAGTGGCGGAAAGTCTGGATTTGTCAAAACAGAGAGAGTACATGGCCGTATATTCTGTTGTGTTCAATGCACATGGCAAAGTGCGGATGACAAATACAGAAGGAGGCGGAGTGCTATAGTTGTGGGACAGGTCAGAGACTATCCGGGAAAAGGGTGAGACAACTGTGAATTTGACTCAAGGTGACACGGGGCGACGGTGAAATTCCTTCAAGTTTCAGACAGACGGTCATGAAAGAGCGGTGATGTTGAGTTCATGTAACTCTTATATGTGGCGTCCAATATGTGAGTTGTTCATTTTCATGCAGACAGTGGTCGGTGTGTGATGGCGTTGAACGGATTCTCCGAAAGTTGGAAGCACAAGGTAGAGTAATAAGGAACTTAATTTTGCTCGTGTTGATTGTGAAGAAGACAAGAAGGGACTACAGTTGCAGGTGGAGTCACATGGAGTCTGGGAGTAGCAGCGGTGCTCATGGCGTATCTCAAGTCCAATGTACATGGAGGTTCGACGCACGGACGAATTCAAGGTGGTGGAGAATATTCGCCAAGGTGGAGTTTGTTAGAGTTGTGTCGAATATTATTGTACAAGTTAGGTTATAGTTGGACTTGGAGTCGTACTGTGTGTAGACAGGGTAGGAGTTGTGTCCTAATAGGACACTTGTATCCTAAGCCTCTCATATATAGTAGGGATAGACACACGATGTAACCTATGCCAACATAATAGCACGGGCACGTGGGGGAGCCGGCGGCGTGTGCCGGCGCCCGGATGGCCGGGGTGCGGTATTGTAGCGGTGTCATGGGGAGGAACGCCCGTAGTCATTGCTCCGGGGATGTAACCATATCGGTGTCGTTAACAAATCTCGATGTCATGCTTGTGTGATTGTTTGGTTCTCGGTAGATCAACAGAGCGCCTGGATTTAATAATAAATCTTGTAAAAACCCATGAAATGCCACTACATGTCTTGCTAGAGACAAGGGCCCATTGTTACGAAATAGTAGAAGGGAAAATTAATAATAAAAATAACGCAGACTGAGTTCGAATCCGAGACCTTGTCCTACAAGGCCGGCTGTTCTAGCCACAAGACAAGTTTGAGTTTCATTCTCCACATATGATAACGAAGCTTAATGACCTCTAGTTTGGTGAAAATACGTTAGTTTTTTTCCTTTTAATAATTTGGTGAAAATATGTAAATTATAATCAGAGTAAAAAGTAAAAACAGAATATGTGTTATAATTCATTTGAAGAAAAAATTTAACTTATTTAAACAAAGGTTCATGTAACTATACAAAATATTACGTATTACCTGCTTAAATAATATTTATGAACTAAAATAATCTGTACAATTTTAAAAAGTAAATACATACTTAATAAAATATGATTAAAATATTATATTTTAATAAATGTTCATATAATTTTGGAAGGTGTTAAAATTTTAATTCCTGTAGGATATAAGAAATTTTTATATTGTTTTAAAAAGTGTTCACATGTTCTATAAATTTTGTGTGTTTGTGAAAATATTTATACATTCTTAGACATTACAAAATAATTATATACTAATGTGAAGATAAATATGAGCCTTGTAAATCCCTAGACCGCTCAAATGAAAAGTCTTAAATATTGTTTTAGTTATATGATACTTTAAAATAATACATGTATATTTTTGTTAAATATATTACAAACATGGAGTTAATAGTTTTTATTAAATATATGAACACTTGTTTATGAAACTGTAAAAAATATGTGAATACGAATATTTTAACTCTATATATTACTGTGTTTAAGATTTATATACTTTTACAAAATAAATAAAACGAAAAATAACTAAAATATGGCAAATGGGTTGCAGTAACTGCAACCCATTTTAAGACGGGTGCATGTTGGTGCACAGAACAATAAGCCTACTTATCTTAGATGGACAAGGAAATTGAACTAGTTCGTTGGCTAGCAGGACCATGCCATGCTTGTAGTGAGAACCTGCGTCGGCACTATTTTCATATGAACTTTCCCTTTGTGCTGTTTCCTGACGGGTCGGGCATTGTACAAAATTTGTTATTAATTCAGGGGTGTTCTGCAAAAAAGCGTCGCTCCAGCTCCATCTAGTCTTTGACAGCGGGCCTGACACCACCCTGTCATGCCATGGAAGCAGCATACACAGCTACATATGAGAATTGAACCATATATGCACTTTGAGACAAGTTGTGACACTAGCTTTCCGTATTTTTCAACTTGTGACACCAAACTGTATATGTTGTGTAACTTCATGTATCAGCAGTGCATTTACCTCTTTGATTAAAGTAGAGATACTTTGACTTTGTATAAACTTATATGCAAACTAAAAAGGATCTAAATCATAAGTGAATCGCGAGGCACGCGTAACGGAGACATGGAGTACAATCTCATCTCCTTTTATTACTTGATTGACTTGAGAAAATTAACACTAGGCATTAATAAGCAAAAGCAATCAAAATCCGACCACAACAGCAAGTACTAATTACGTACTGTACTTTGCAACTCCTCAATATCCTGATACAGTTCGAATGTCGTGCATGGTACACGCGCACGGTGGAAACGGGTCGAACTAAACAAATCAGTGAATTCAAGCGGTGAGCTCCTCCTCCTTGTGGGTCTCGATGACGAGGTCCGAGGTGGGGTACGCGGCGCAGGTGAGCACCCACCCCGCCTCGATCTGGTCGTCGTCGAGGAAGCTCTGGTCGGACTGGTCCAGCTGGCCGGAGACCACCTTCCCGGCGCAGGAGGAGCAGGAGCCGGCGCGGCAGGAGTAGGGCAGGTCGATCCCTTCCTCCTCGGCGTGGTCGAGGATGTAGACGTCGTCGGGGACCTCGAGGTCCACCTCGCCCTCCGGCGTGATCAGTTTCACCTTGTACGTCGCCTGCGCGCGGAGCCTCATGCCCCTGGCGGCCGTCGACGACAGCGGGAGCGCGACGCGGGATGCCGCCATGGGCGCCGAAGGGGCGGCGGGGCAGACGGAGAAGGGCAAGCGGAGGCTGCTCAATACGGTGGCCATTGCGGCGGAGCTGCGAGCTAGCTTGCGAGGTACTACTCCGTAGGCGGATACTCGGTGGAGGAGAGGATAGTGTTGGAGCGTGTGAGATGAGAAGCAGCGGCAATAAGAAGGGCGGACGAGCCGGCCAGCTTATCCTGAACACGGGGCACGGTTGGGTTGGAGCGTCCACGTTCACACGCTGAGGGAGTGAAGGGGGATCCGTGACACCCGGCCGGCGCAGATGCCACCATGGATATCGACAAGGCGTGTGGAGGCCATGCGATGGGGTGCATGCGTGGTCTCGGTTGTATGCTTGGGGTATTTTGCATTGAGATTCTGGTTACAGATCAATTCGAAATAATATTGTGACGTGTTCCACCAACCGAGTGCCAAGTGTTATCTTCCCAAATATTTCTCCATTATTTATCTTTTTTAACAGGAAAAAAAGCTAGCCTTATATGAGTACATTTTTTTGCAGGGTGAAAGGAGATTTTCATTACTCAAGGAGGCTTATCAGCCTTGGATAGGTTTACAACAAATTCCAACCCCGATCGCAACCACACAGCAGTGCGGGGGGTACTACGGCCGTACGCGGCCAACTCATGACTAACTTTATTCCGAGATCGTCTACAGTGAGTAAAAAAAATCTCTCTATCCTCTTATGTAACTATCCTCCGAATCTCGTCAACTAGAACACGGTGCTGTGAGCGGTCCATCACATGTGTTGTAAGCCTCGTGACCGCTTCCACACTATCCAGCTCCACCACGATGGGTAGGTTGGTCCGATGCAAAGCCAATTCCAAGCCCTCTCTGCATGCTGCAAGTTCCGCATGCAGGCTGTTATCACATGTGCGTATCTCCCTACACGCACTGAAGATGATCTCTCCTCTGTCATCGCGGAGGACCATGCCCCCTCCTGCAACGCCTGTAGCTGGGACATAACTGCCATCAGTGTTTAACTTCGTCCAGCTCGGGCCGGGCGGCGCCCAACGTAGCTCCTGCTTCTGCTCAGTACATAAAGTTGTGGCCGGTGGGGTAACATGCAGGATCATCTTTCCTTTCTCCACGTCTCCATTTGGGTAGTGATGAATGCATAGAAGCGAATTAATGTGCCCGTTGGGGAAGCGGCGGGATGCTTCTGTTGGGGGTGGCTTCTTTCCATGAGTAATCTCATTGCGCACGTACCAGGTTCGCCACATAATCATGAGGGTGACCAGGCGTGCCGTTCCGTCTAGTGGTTCCAGGAGGGAAAACAGCCACTCTGGGTCGTTATTGCAAATTCCCTCGAGCTTTGGGATTGGCCAGTCCGTCTCCATATTCCGCCACAGCTCTCTAGCAAGTGGGCATCTGCATAATGCATGGAAGCCGTCCTCTCGTTCCACACCACAAAGAGGACATATGTCAGTAAGCTCAAGATGACGAGAAAATTTGTTGGCCCAGGTAGCCAACGAGTTGGTCACTACTCTCCATGCAAACACGCGTACCTTAGGGGGGGCAGGGCACCCCCATATGATCTTCCAGATGGCGCGACGACCATCTGGTGCCCTGCTCGTGGAGGTAGCCAGTGGACGTTCCCGCTCGTCCATGGCGAAGTGATAGGCGGATCAAACGATGAATATACCGTTCTTCTCCGGCGCCCATGCGATAATGTCGTCGGTGATGTGGGGCGAGGTGCGGATACTGGTGACCGCGTCAATGTCCGCCGGGAGGAAGTGTCGGCGTAGCAAGTCCATCTGCCAAGCGCCGGCATCATCCAGAAGATCCGCCACTCGTCTCAGCCGACAGGTGCCTTGCTGTGTAATGGGATGGCGTGAAGGCTCCCGGGGTACCCAGCGGTCCCGCCAGATGCGGATGCTCTGTCCATTCCCGACACGCCAGATGATGCCCTTCTTCAGGAGCTCGAGGCCATGCTGGATGGCCTGCCAAGTAGGCGAAGCATTTCCGGCAAATACTGTATCCTCAAGGCGTCCATCAGGATAATACCGAGCCTTTAACACCTGCGCACATAAACTATCAGGCTTAGTTAGCAAGCACCATGCCTGTCTCGTGAGAAGAGCTTGGTTGAACACCCGGAAGTCCTTGAAACCCAATCCGCCCTGGGATTTGTGCGCCAGAATTTTTGGCCATGCCAACCAGTGAGTTTTCCTCTTGCCCTCTGAAGATCCCCACCAAAAATTTCGCACCGTTCTGTTCAGATCATCACACACTGACATAGGCAGTTTAAAAACACCCATAATATAAGTTGGGATAGCCCGTGCGACTGCTTTAATCATAATCTCCTTGGCAGCAAGAGAAAGAGTGTCACCCCAAGCAATGGTCCTCTTCATCAGGCGTGACTGCAAATTCTGAAGTTTACCTCGTGATATACGACCCTCTGGCGTCGAAAGTCCTAGGTATTTTTCCTCAAAGGTGCTCACACCAATGTGAAGGACAACCCGTATACTATCCTGTATGTCCACGGCACATGATGGACCAAAGAGAGCACTGCACTTATCTGGGTTACTATACTGTCCAGTAACCCGTTCATACATATTAAGTACTTCCTGAACCTTTTTTGCTTGTTCCTCCTCTGCTTTAAAGAACAACAAAGTATCATCCGCAAAAAGCAAGTGTGACACACCCGGAGCTCTTCGGCAGATTTCCAGCGGTGTGTAAGCACCTTTCTCCTCTCCATCTTTCAACAAAGCAGAAAGCCCACCAGCCACCAACAGAAACAGAAACGGGGATAGGGGATCACCTTGTCGAAGCCCACGTGACGGTGCGAACGAATTCAAGAGGGTTCCATTAAATTTTACTGTGTATCTCACCGAGGTGACGCAAGCCATAATCCAGTCCACCCACTGGCAAGCGAAGCCCATCTTTTGCATCATTCGCTCCAAGAAGATCCAATCCACCCTATCATATGCCTTAGACAGATCCAGCTTATACGCACAGAAACTCTTGTCAGGGTCTTTCTCCTGCTGAATAAAGTGAATGCACTCAAAAGAAATTAAAGCATTATCAGTAATCATCCATCCAGGAACAAAGGCGCTCTGCTCCGGTGAAATAATGTCATCTAAAATAGGCCTCAACCGGTTTACCAGACATTTTGCCACCACCTTATAAATAACATTGCACAGGCTGATGGGGCGGAACTCTGTTAACCTCTCCGGGTTATCCACCTTTGGTATAAGAACAATGGATGTGTTGTTCACTCCCGCGGGCATGATACCTGTGCGAAAAAATTCCTTTACCCCAGCAATAACTTGTTCCCTCATGACCGCCCAATTCCGCTGGAAGAAACAAGCGGGGAATCCATCCGGTCCCTGGTCTTTCAGAGGCCCAATCTGGAACAGTGCATCGGCTATCTCCTTGTCTGAAAAATCTGCGCATAGGCCATCATTCATGCGGTCAGTAACACGGGTATTAATGAGATCGATAACAGGTTCTGGAGCCAGGGTAGTATCAACAGCAAATAAACTCGAAAAATATGCAGTAGCCATAGCCGCCATAGAAGCATGGTCCTTGTGGGTCACTCCTGCCTCATCGACAAGAAGTTCTATACGATTTTTCCGTGCACGCCATACCGCTTTTCGATGAAAGAACTGGGTATTCCGGTCACCTTCCCGCAGCCAAGCAATACACGATCTTTGCATCCAAAGCATTTCTTCCCTGTACAGGAGCTCGTTCATCCGGTTTATTGCCGCTCTAATCTCCTTCCTGTCTGCATTCATAGACATAAGTTCCTCTAAACGAGAGCGAGATTTATTAATTTCCTTGATTACATTACCAAACTTCTTACGACTCCACTGCTGCAACTTATTCATCATATTACCCAAACCAGTAGCTATATCACCGAGATTAAGCATTGAACCCAACTCAGTCCATGCATTCATAATTACCTCAGGGAGAGTATGATCCATCTCCCACATAACCTCATATTGGCGACATTTTCTCCCGACTGTGTGCACGGGCTCCTCCATCACACACTGCAGCAAAATGGGAAGATGGTCCGAGCTGGGCGCCACAAGGTGCTCCACCTTGGCGTGAGAGAAAATATCCCTCCAGGAATTGTTTGCCACATCCCTGTCGATGCGGACCTTGACGTTCGCCCGCCCTCCTCGGCGATTATCATATGTATATGGAAGGCCTGCAAAACCAAGGTCGCCCAAGCCGCAAACTTCAAGAACATCATGAAAGCAATCATATGACCTGCCGACCGTGGTGTTTCGGAGAAGTGCTCAAAACTCCACATGGCTTCGTTAAAATCACCAATCATCGTCCACGGCATGTTGGTTTGTTGATGAAGTTCCCGAAGGGAAGACCACATGCGAGGACGGTCCTCCGTCCGGGGTTCGCCGTAGACGCAAGTAAGCCTCCAGGGTGGCTCACCTGCCATACCAGTCACGTACGCATCGATGTATCTTTCATTAATAGTTTTTACATCCAGACTCAACGACTCGTGCCAATACAAAGCAAGACCACCACTCAAGCCTATGCTATCAGAAGCATCAAAACCACTAAGACCTAAACGAGCATGATATCTCTTCATTTCATTTTTCGACTACCTAGTTTCACAAAGAAAAACGATACTAGGGGAGTGAGCCTGTACTAGACTCACGAGATCCCAAACTGTCTGAGGGTTCCCACCTCCTCAGCAGTTCCAGCTCAGGATGTTCATTGCTCTTGACGAGGCTCCACGAGCCCCGTCAGTTCATCAGCGGCCCCTGGGCCGACTGCCTCCATGGTGTTTGTTCTCTCCAGCATGTCCTGGTCATGCATATCTCCTTCCACACGAGTCTGCTGCCCCTCCAGAGACTCCATAGTCTGACACTTGTTTGGTGTACCGGCTTTGC